GGTTTTTGTTAAACCTGGGTACCCTGGGTACACTAATTTTCTTGTCAGTGCCCTCATAGATTCCTGCAGTTAAGCTTATGTACATTTACAGGGGTTGGACAATGAAACTGAAACACCTGGTTTTACAACACAATAATTTGTTAGAATGGTGAGGGCCTCATTTTGCATCCAAATACAGCACCAATTGACAGATAGAAGTCCTTCAAAGTGACCAGAGAGATTATGAGCCGTTCCTCTTCCAGAACAGTGTCCAGGTCACTATATGATGCTGGTGGACTCGCTCCTCCAAAACACCTCAATAATATTCAGATCTGGTGACTGTCAGACCATGGGAGATGTTCAACGTCACTTTCATCTTCATCAAACCCTTCTGTCACAAGTCTTGCTGTGTGTGCTGGTGCATGATCATGCTGATACACGGTTTGAGCATCAGGTGCTCATGATCCTCCAGAAGGGTTTGGTAGTCCTCGGGCAGTGTCGTGTCCATCAAATACAATCAGGATTGTCATGATATTGGAGCTCAAACCATCACTGATCCACCCGTGCTTCACTCTGAAGATTGGCCGCCAGGCATATAGATGTGAAAACTCCAACATTGGCCAGTGTTTCAGTTTCATTGTCCAACCCCTGTATATTCCAATGAAGGTTATTGATAACATGCTTACAATACATATGGGCCCCTGTGGCACATATAGGGGCACAAAAAATTATTTTGTGGAGGTTTAAATTACTGGGGTCAAATTGAATTAATGCACTGGTTAAGTATGTGTGTAGTAGTTCCTCTTATTCACGGCTCTGCTGGTTTAACTTGTTTTTGCAGGTTTCTCCTCCTAAGGAGACGATCCCAGCTCAGCCCGTCAGCCCACGGTGAGAAACAAGCTTTTTATCGGAAAATAATATACATGAGTGTTTACAGGTTTGGGGATGTGTCTGAAAGAGCCTCTTCTGCTCACCAAGGCTGCAGAAACAGTGAAATATCCCAGTGCGAAACCGCTGTTTACTATGGAAACTACGCCACAGAACATTTCAAAAGATAATTGTGACGTTTATATATTGCAATTCTGAGGTTATATCACCCAATTGTGCGAGAAAAAAAAAAGTCTGATTTTCAAAAAAAGTCTGATTTTATATCTTGCAATTGCAAGTTTATATCACACAATTGCGTTGCAATTACCTTTTTTATATTTCATTCTGTTGTGGAAACAAGCTTCCGTAGTTGTCTATGTGAATATATAGTAAGGGGTGTAGCGATAACCGCAATATAGCAGTACTGCGCTACTGACAGGCTAATGGCAGAGCAATGCAGGAAACCGCAGCAACCGTGATATTAGCTTGTGTTCATAAAGCTACACCCTTCTTGTGTTGAACTTCGTGCATGTGTATGGAATGTTAAATAAATATAGATGTGCTGTATAGATGCTGAGTGACAGTTTACAATGCGCAGAGATGCTGTTTTTGTGTATGCTGACCACACTTACTGATTATAGCAACGAATAAATCAAAATAAATAAATGTCAATAATACCGCATATTAGGGCTGGGCGATAAAACGATAACGATAATTATCGCGATATAATTTTCCTCGATAAAACGATATCAAGAGGTCGATAAATGTTCGTGCGTCAAAAGCGGAACGAAACTCATTTAAACCGCGCGCGCCACACGGGGCATTTATCCGCTCGGGTCAAAGTCCAAATGGCAGCGCACTGAGTGCAGCGCGAGCTCACGCAGACGCGCCTCTGATCGTTTTGCTCACGAGATCCAGTGAGAAGCACTTGAGTTCAGCAAAGAACACAAATGTCAAGTTTAAACCAGTTTAAAGGCATATGAAACACCGCTGACAAAAAGGAGAAACACTGCGTGCAACGATACAGTCAGAATCTGTATTGATACTGAATCCATTTAGCTTTTCATGGATTTACTGTAAGGTTAGCCTGGTAATATTAACTGCACCATGAAATTTAACTATTTGGGGAAAAAATATATATCCCCAAATCGTAAACCCCATAAACCCCGTATAACCCCACAGTCTGTAAAAATATACCTCCGAATGTTTTGTCAAATCTAGTTGTAGGCCTACAGTCAATCGCAAAGCTCTTTCCCACTTTATTTGTGTGTGTTGTGTTTGTTTTTCGTGGCATTCACGCTGAACACATATACAGCCGCTCAGTCTTTTTGCCACTCACTGAGGAACTGCAGGCACTCCGGCCGACGGTGACGTCACGCGCATTCCCTCTATAGGAAATTTCAACTGCAGTAGCCACCGTTCAACCTGAAGAGGGCAGCACTAAGACGTTTTTACAACATACAGTATATTGTCGAACTAAAACACTTTATACACAAATGTCAAAAAAGTTACTCGAATCAATGACTGGTATTAATAAAGATCCATTCTTACAGATAACTAAAAAAAGGTGGTTTAGGATTTAGTTACACTTTAAGTTAAACCAAACTTTTATTTTGACGGGTTGCCGTGAAGACCTTTGAGTTTCTGTGTAGAGTTGGGTCCAACTGTCGAGTCCGAGTCGAGTCCAAGTCCTTAACAATCCAGTCCAAGTCCAAGTCCAAAGAGGGCCGAGTCGGACTTGAGTCCGGGTCCTTAACATCCGAGTTCGAGTCGAGACCGGCCGAGTCCACAAAGATTTAAATGATTTGAAATTGACCTTTTACAAAGACCCATCCCTCTTAGTTACTGTTGCTACGTCCCACAAGCCATTACGCTCTCACTCCACATGTTCTCACACAGTGAAAAATATATTGAGGAGCAAAGAGAAAAAAAGGTATTTTCAAGGTAATGCTCAAGAATGCAACATGATGCATTAAGAGCCAAGGGGTACTTTTGAGTAAGATGATGGTGATGTTTAAATTTTTATTATTTTGTTTTGCATGCTAATATCTTTTTTAGCCTCTGAAGGACTATTTTTACAATTTACACCAATTTACATCCAGTTCCATCCTTAACGGATGCTTCCTTCTTGAACATCGCTAAATATTTGCAGGGTTTGTAATGATTGAAAGATGGAATTGCTCCATTGTAATGAAGAGATGGATCTCACTGTCACTGCTAATAAGGAGTCAAATATGCAGAAGATGCTGGAAAAGCAAAGGATGTGCAGGAGCTGGAGGATTTTTCCTCATGAACAACCATTACAAAACAGACAAACAAAAAAAAAACAGTGTGGATCATTCAGGTAATGACACACAATATTAAAATCAAGTAGCCTAATTTGTCTTGTATTTTGTCTTGTGGACTAGGCCATTAAACATCTGTTATGAAAATTATTATTTAGATTGTCAATAGCACTCCCTTTAAGCCATCACTCACCGCGTTCTGCACTCTCCCTAAAACTCTCGTCATAAACACTGAAGTTATCCGCACTGCACAGTGAATCTCTCATTTATATCGTGTCTAGATTTTGTTTATGAGGGGATTTGCAAAAGGATACAGCTCGTGCTGATTCTGAACATACATTTTTAGCAAATTCTCTGCATGATACCTCTGATTTGCCACTGCGTTCGTGCGCTTAATACACGTAATTGGCTACAATACTCAACTCGGACACAACACAAGTAGTTTCGTTTCGTTTTTGAATAACGTGTCCCCTAGTGCCCGGACTCGTTTGGACTCGGACATTTTCGAGTACCCCAACTCTATTTATGTGTGTGTTTATGATATGACGATAGTTATTTCTCAATCTCAAATGAAGCTCGGAACACACCAAGCCGACGCCAACGAACTAGCGCTGATGAAAGCCGACTGTGTTGTCGCCTCTCGTCCGCTATCGTCAAGGTAAAAAGCTGCACTTGAACACACTTGAGCTGTACTTGAGAACTGCAGCCGACTGTCAGCTAGAATGTGCGTTCTGTGCCTGCGTTTAATGAGCCAACTGTCTATTTCTGCAGCTATATTAGTCTATATTCGTCATTCAAAAAGGAAAACCAACGCTGCCGGCTGCAGATACACATAACGTAAACAAAGCAGCGCGTGCTTACCGGTTTGAATATCAATCCTGCTAAACACTTTCTTTATTCCACTCTGCTATTCGAGAAGGAACACTATGGTAAGAAAACGTAACACAAGAACAGCCTTCTATCTTTACCGTTTTGACTTCTTTGCTTGCTGTTTTGCTTTTATTCTCATGGACTGACTCTTTCACTAAGCTGAACAGCCAATCAGAGTTCTCTCTTTCCCCAACTGCCCGATGCCGATTCAACATGTCGAATCGGGCGAAACAGCAGATGAGGACTATTTTCAGCCAACACCACGGAACTTGCTCTATTCTGTGAGGCGCGTTTGTAACGTCACGTAATACGTAATTACGTTCAAACGGTCACGGAAGCCGGAAGTCACGTAGCCGGAAGTACAGAATCAAAATCATCTGACATCGTTGTTTTACCTTTTAATTCCTTTTTTTGTAAACGACGTTTGAGTTAGTTTGCACGTTCAACCTATGCGTTCAACTTGTAAACAATGACTCTGGACTTCCGGTTACGTCGCCCGTGACCTTTTGAACGTAATTACATATTACGTGACGTTACAAACGCGCCTCACAGAACAGAGCAAGGCTAGCATTTGTCCTTAGAAAAGTTACATTTTTGGAATAAGTTTTGAAATAACCGATCGTTTCACATGATAAGACCCTTATTCATCGTCTGGTGTCATTTAAAGACATTTGAAGCTGCATCTGAAACTGTTATTAACTGTCTTTTGGACCTTGGACTGTCTGGTTCCCATTGAAGTCAATTATATGGAGAAAAATCCTTAATTTCTTTTCGACTGAGAAAAGAAAGACATGGACATCTTGGATGACATGGGGGCGAGTAAATTATCAGCACAAGTTTTTTCAAAAGTGAACTACTCCTTTAATATACACAGACACCACATCAACAGTGCCGTCGGTCACCATTCATGTCTCAGCGCTTTCATGAAGAGGACGCAACTTCACGCCCTTTGTGCATGCATGCGCGCACAAGCAGAAACGGGTTTAACCGGGAACTCGGTACCACCTGAACTTGGTACGATGACGTTTAAAATTTTTTAGTACCGACTTGGTACCGAAGTATCGAATATTTTGACAACACTTTGTAGCAGTGTAACTTATTCCTGTGATCAAAGCTGAAAGTTCAGCTTCATTACTCCAGTCTTCAGTGTCACATGATCCTTCAGAAATCACTCTAATATGAGGATCTGATGATCAACAAACATTTGATCATCATCAGTGTAAGAAGATATTTATTGATGATATTATGACTGTGTCGCAGGCCGGTTGGTGTGTTTGAGACTGACGTGCAGGAGCCTCTGACTGCAGGTACGTGTGTGTGTGTGTGTCTCACATGCTCATTACACACCGATGTTCGGGCTTTTTTATACTGTGTTCTGTGTGTGCAGAGGCTGCTTCGGGGTGCTGTGCTGCCAGACCGGGGTCACTGCCGCCCACTGTGGGAACCAGGAGGAAGAGGCGCTCTGAGGCTGTGAGGAGACGGAGCTCACGCTTGCCCTCCATCGGGAAAACACACGAGGCTCTCGATGACCGGCGACAGGACGCGCTCAACACCCAGCCGGAGGAGCAGCGGGTTGCACCGGACGAGCAGAACAGGGAGTTTGAGCTGGATGTGTCCGAGGTCCAGCACTCGACACCGGATCCTCCCGTCAGACCGAGCCGAAGGAGGAAACCCACCCAGACCAAACCGGAGCGTGGCCGCAGACCAGACCGGGCCCTGCTGAAGAAACCCTGGGAGAACCCCAAACCCAGAGCGCGCTCCAAAAGCCGTGAGCGTTCCCAGAGCCGGTCCCGAGCGCCAGCCGAGAGCCTCAACTCCTCGCTGGGCGGCAACGACACCTTCGACTTTGACTGTGAGGAGGCCATTCATCTGACACCCTTCAGAACCGGACACAAGCCTGCGGACAGACCGAGTGACCCTGCGGAGAGACCGGGTCACCCTGCGGAGCGACCGGGTGACCCTGCGGAGGAAGAGGAGGAGGCCGACAGCAGCTTCTCCGATGATGAAGATGATTCCCCTTACATGCCAAAGAGGAAGACCAGAAGGACTCGAAGTTCTCCGGCCAGACGCACTCGGTCCAAACGTCGCTCCGTTCAGGAGAAGAACCGGAACCAGCACTCAGGTACCTCATGGGGTGTAATTGTGCACAAAATTCACGGTTCTGTTCGACACGATACACTTGTGTCACGGTTCGGCCCGTTTTCGATACAGCAAAATAAAAGAAATGCCAGAGAAATTTCCTTGATTTTAATGTTTTTTATTATATTTTTTATTAAAACTAACATCATAGAGTATGATTATTTTTTTTTTACTTTGAGCAATGAGTTATAGTTGACTATTCTTAGGAGCATAAAAAACAAAACAGCTCCTTGGACAAAATGAAATGTAAAATTGTAGTAATTATAAACAAAGGGTTATTTTAGTTCAGTTTAACATTTGAGGGCAGCAGTTGTATTCATAATGTCAAAATAAAGCCGACGTGATGTTACTTGAAAGCGTTATAGCCGTCTATTCCTGCCAAACTCCCATGGTTAAAAATAGTTGAAGTAACGAAAAATGGTCCAAAGAACCGTTTGATTACAGTTCGATACGAATACGTGTATCGTTACACCCCAATAACCTCACACAACTACGCGCACGTCTCCGCTAACATTCAGAAACATGTAAAAGTGAAGCTGTCCCTCAGTCTCTCCGTTAGGCTGCTCTCGCTGCTGGTTACTCCTGACTCTGGATCAGTGAGATGTTTTGTTAGACACATTCTGGGGACACCAGAGCTTTATACTACATCTTGTGTAAAGGGGCATAATATGCATCATATCACACTATCTAACATTTCATTTCTTCTAATAATTTAATGATTCGCAGAGAACAACAGGGCTGAGGTGGAAGTGCATCTCGACACACAGTCGCCGGTCGATCTTCCTCTCGAGAATCCCAGCCAATCACAGCCAAGCCCAGGTAAACGCAGACAAATGGACATCATTTGTGATGTCTTCGTAGATATTGTTTTCTGTTCCAGTGTTATCAATAGAACTGTGGAATATAATCACTATATGATGAACTATTATTTCTTGAATGCTTCTGTTACCCAAACTGTCTCGCGTTATAGAAGACCCGTGGCAGATTATTGTTGGAAGAAAAAAGTTTAAAAAGTAAAACAAACAAAAAAATTATTTTAGGTTTTAGTTTATTCAAATGATTTATAAACATTATTTTTCTATAAAATGTATATTTTATAAAACATGTTGAACTCTAAAACTGTTAGAAAAGCAAAGCCATGAATCTTGTGTTCAAAGTTGTGTTCAAAATGTGAGGTTGATTTCTGAGTGAGTAAGTGAGTGTTTAGAAACACATGCACACAATTTCTTTTTTATTACACACACACAAACCACACTCTGACACACACACACACACACACAATTATTGCTGCATCATTTATCCAAATGGCTCTATGAAATGCAGAAGCAGAAAATAGGAAAATAAAGATAATTTGATAATTTGTTTATAGGTCAAACCTGAGAAATGGCACACCTGGTGAAATATTGTAAACATGTCTAATTTTGCAGGCTTGCCGACTAGTGTTGGGCGATATGCTCCATTTTCATATCGTCCTATCGTCAGCCTGTGAGATCGGCGATACACGATATTATCGTGAGGGGGCAGGGCTTACTTATTTGATTATTAACTTGATTATGTAGCCTACTCATTAATGCTTGTTTTACTTCGTTTTATATACAGAAATCCTTTTTTCTATTTTGCTAGCAAAGGTGGAGTGTTTATTAATAGGATCAGGTTATTTCCTGGTATAGTGAGGTAAAAAAAAAAAAGATCCTAATCCTTTTGTTTGTCAGCGGGAAATTTACGGACACATTAGTCTATCCTCATGCCGTTACATGCAGCATTTTGACTAGGGCATATTTCTGCACGAGATGAAAACACGTTTTAATAATTTCTTGGGTCAGAAAGAGTCAGAGTTTGCGATATGTGTCCCCCTACCAGTGCGCTCTCTGTTTGGATGTGTTTTAAATGCCGGGAGAAACCAGAGCAAGGGCCAATCGTCTAGCTGAGTCGATCGGTTTATACTTACTTATGACTTGACTCTGATAAAGGAAAACGGGTTAATGCGTTTACATGACCACATGCATTGTCAAGTTTATTCAACATAATCGGGTTAAGAATGTCGTAAACGCGCTCAATTTCTGAAAGTGAAAGTAAAAACGGACTGCTTTCGCCATCCGCATTAACGCCGCGTTCCCTCAGAGACGACGATGATAACGGTAACTATAATGCTATTTTAGTGATATTATTATTTATACTATTTAGTAATTGTATTGTTTTTAGTGTTAGTGTCATTAAACGTTTTGTTAATGTGTTACGGAAACATACTGACAAACAACGATGCCGTTTTCATCTTGGATCTGTAGGAAATTAAATTATGCGTCTGTTAAAACGAGCACACTTGATAATTTGTGAATGGATCACCTTGCAATTAAATTTTGATGTGGGATGTTTTTTAGTCTGTTTTAAAAACATTCTCTTAGAGGAGTCCTCAGTGCGTGTCAGTGTCGTACATTGTTATGAGGTGATGTCGTTGTAAATTTAGGCAAGGCAAATCAATTGTAGTTCCTAATATTAATTTAATAACAATACTAGCTTTATAATAATAATAATAGGCCTAATAATAATAATTTAATACATTATGGTAAAACGAGCCAATTATCGTATTGATATCGTCAAAGGCATCTGCCATCGGCGATAACTCAGACTATCGTCGATACACGATACTATCGTCTATCGGCACAACCCTATTGCCGACAGAATAAAAAGCCACAGTCTCTCTGCATGATCGCCTCTGGGTTTAGTCTCGCCCGCCGGTTACATCCGCCGCTGTGTCGCCGTTCTTGCATTAGCTGGAGATAATGGACAAATACACTCGCTGTTTACCAGAACTTCCCGTGGTTTACGTGGATGCTGTTAGCAGTGTTGAGGCAGTTAGCGGAAGAATAAGAAGAGCCAACTTTGAGAGCGAGTAATCTCTCATATCATGCGAAATCCGACCAGCCAATCAGTTTCTAAAATCGTTGTCTCCTTTCTGAGAAAATGAAGTTTATTTAAGTTTGCCGCGAGTACACTTCGCTTTAGAGCGCACTATGCGGAGGTGACGACATGGCTGAGGTCCTACCGGAGGACATACGTCAGTTCATGCACAGAGCCTATTTACACAGATTGCAGGATTTTAGGTTAAATGGGCCTGGGTTAAAAATTGCAGTTTTAAAGGGTTTCAATTGGGACGTGTTTGTGCTCAGAGGAGCTATAGAGACGTCCCAGAGTTCCAGCGCCTCGATCATAAGGGTTAGTCTGAGCCGGAGCTCTGTTCACCTTCAGTTTCGGTTCACAGCAAACGCTGAGTGTTTGAGTGGTGTATAATTTGCATTAGCAGCCGAACCGCGAGGATGGCCTGTAGCGCTGCCGTCACGGCCGAGCGATCCAGTCTCCAGAACACAAACAATGTTTCATGTTTGAAACCAAAGGAATTAAAGCAGCCGTAAATCGTGCTGTCATTTTACTGTTGTTCTATGAAATAAAGTATTAATCAAAATTATTATTTTTATGATAACATATTGTATTAAAGGTGCTGTATGGAATTTTTAGCGACCTCTAGCGGTGATGTTTCAGAATGCAACAAGAGCGCTCGTGCTCAATTTCAAGAGCGAGCAATCATTCACTACCAGCCACACGGAGACTTTCAATGCAACGGTGAAATTATCACACATGCTGGAAACTAATATAAACTCCCACTGCAGGTACAATAATAGCCTAACTTACTTTTATCAGCTTGACGTTGAACTAATGCTCTGTGCTCGTACCATGATAATGTTACAATAAACTGCATTTAGCCGACATGTGATGTTATAGCATAAGCCATTTCTCTAACTATTCGTGTATCATTCACAATCAGCAATTTCAACATAGGTGAATGTATAATATGATAACGAAAACGGTTAGTGAACTAAACTGAACAGTTTCAGTGCATCAGTAAGATCGTAGGAAGTAACAATACTGTACTGAACTTGTCTGGAAATGTTCATAAACAATATGGTAGTGGGATGACGACGTTAGTCAGTAGATCTAGTAAATAAAATAAGTTGCATACTAAATGTTATACTAATGTTATCCTGGAACATTCTTTTGTATTCATGTCATGTTTCATGTAGTTTACCTTGCTATTTCACTTGAGTTTACTATGTTGATCCGCGTTTTCGTCCGAAGTCGATCAGATTCACGTTTTGCCTGACGAGCTTGAGCAGATAAAACTTTTTTGTTTTTTATATTTATGTGGAGTTTGTGTTTGAGTCTGTGTTGTGCTGGAGGCAGGACGTTTTGGGGGGTTATCAGACTCCATGTCGTCAGCTGAAGTGCCGTTGGTCGCATGATAGACTGTAGGATAGAGAGGCTCGGGACTCGGGAGCGCGCATGCACGTCACTTCTGATGGATTTCGCAGGAAATCCGACCCGAAGACCTCCCATATAAATAAGAATATTGGCCTTCAGAGGTAATGGCAAAACCCGAAAAGTGGATCTTTGCAATGTGTGATTACAACCCCTTCAAACACAGGCAATAAAAAAAGGATTCATTTTATAAAAATAGTTACATATAGAACCTTTAAATATTCTATACTATATTTGTACTATATTTGAATAATAATTCACTTCGGCTAAGCCACGCCCTAGAATGTAGATTGACCAATCACAGCGCAGCCAAGAACGAGCTCCCACAGAGGTCGGACACTTTTTCACTGCGCTCCATTGACTTTCAACACAGGCGTCTCATATTTTTGGTCTCGGCAGGCTATTACCGTCATAGTTTTATCCAAAATATGGTTAAACGTTGTGCCTCGGGCAATTGTAACACACATACGCATTTCCCAGAGAGGTTGGAGGGGGGTGTCCGTTTTTTCCCTTCCCAAAACAGAAGTGTCGTCTTTGGATTAAACTGTGTGGATGTCCTCAGTCAGCTAAACCCCGCAAAGATCAACAAGCACGTCTTTTTTTTACTTCTAACCTTACTGTGAGTGTGAAGTTATACTAGTTAGTTAGACCGTTTTATAATGTTTTAGGTTATGATTTCGGTTCACATACCGGTTGTTGATACGCTAGCACACGCTGCTAATAAATACAACGTTATACTCATGTAGTCCGTTTGCTTTGTAATAACGATTATAGAATAAAATAGAGACCTACCCAGCTTTGCATGAACAGTGTTGCTCCCTGATATTGTTAGTCCCAGCCTCCGTCTCGATTAGTAGGAAATGCGGTGGTTAATTTTTTGACTGTGACCGGTAACGTTATGCTTTTGCCTCTATCTTGGATGCCGTGTTGTTTCTTGCGTTTCACCTGTATGTCTTGGATACAGCCTTCGAACGTATATTGCAGCCCATTTTCCCTACTTCTATCGGACACTTTATTTGCTGCTTTTAGTGCTTTATAAAAGTTTGATAACATTTCAGCTGGAAGAGCTGTTACAGCATAAGCCATGCAGAGCGCAGATGAAGTTTGACGGATGTAGCAACAGTAACTAAGGGGGGCGGGGCTTAGCCAAAGGTGAATTGCGTGATTTTAATAATTTCTGATCACATGCCTAATAGATGTAAAATGAAAATAGTAAAGCACTGTTCATTTCATTTGATTCTTGTTTATAATTTTCATTTTTAATCTCATTTTTAAAGAGAGATAAAATAACACAAGAGACAATAGTGATTATTAATCATTATTAAATAAAATAAAAATAAAAGGAAATGACTAAAAATGTAACTAATATGAAAAATAAAAAATCTGAATCAGACTATGATGAGCTGTTGTGTGGTGTGTGCCTGCAGCGCCCCCTGGTGTGTCTCTGGAGTCTCCACTGCCTGTCACGCATGGAAAGGCGGAGCTTATGATGATTGACTGCCCAATATTTCAGTTCCCAAAGTCTGCCAGCAACTCGTCCGATCGGGAGAACGAGACGCTGGTGGTGAAGAACAGAGGCAGAAGAAGAGGTACGTCCCTCATGTGACCTGGGTTCTGGAGGATCTCTCTCTCTATCTATCTATCTATATATCTATCTATCTCACTCACTCACTCTCTCTATCTCTGTCTTCTCTCTCTCTATCTCTCTCACTCACTCTCTATCTCTCTCTGTCTCTCCATCTCTCACTCACACTCTCTCGCTATCTCTCTCTCTCTCTTTCTCTCCACGTTTCCTGGTGTATAAGGACTCATGTGTGGCACATGTGTTTCTGCAGGCCGGCTGGTTGTTCACTCATTTCTGGGCGTGGCTTTGAGTGATGTGAGCAATCTCTCCCCCGCAGCCTATCAGAAGCCGGCGTGTGCTTTGGCCACTCCCCCGACCTCCGCCCCCAGGCGTCGCTGCACCGGATCCGTGAACTACAAGGAGCCGTCGATCAGCTCGTACGTGCCTCGCTTCATTCAGACTCGCTCAGGGCCATTACATAAGATTGACAGATGCTACTTATTTAACAGTGCATTAGTACATGTTAATTAACTGTACATTTTTTACATTACATTTCTACATTTTTCTCAAAGTGTAGCTTGTACATTAAAACTGAATCCGCTCCGTTCCTGCATGTTCACTGACGCGCGTGTGCGCTCTCACGTCAAGACCCCTTCATTTATACAGCGCTTTAACAACACACACACTCACAGCAGCTTTACACAGAGATAACTGTAGCAGAGAGTGTTAGGCTTTACAGCAGATCTAGAATAAAGTTATTGTCCAGATAAAGTTAGTGTTTAGCGCAGCTGTGGGCTGGAATGATTTCTCTCTCGGCTTCAGGCATGTGTGTGTGTGTCTGTGTGTCACAGGAAGCTGCGGCGAGGCGATAAGTTCACGGACACGCGGTTCCTGCGCTCCCCAATCTTCAAGCCGGCGGCGGCGGCGCGGCGGAGCCTCCAGAAGAGGGAGATGTACAACGAGTCGTTCGTCGGCTGCCGCTGAGCTCCCGCAAAACTCAGCAATTCTGTATTCGTTTAATTAAGACTTTTAACTGTCAGTTATGTAATTGACTGCTTTTAAATCTCATGATTTAATTGTGAATATTAATAAAGTTTGTCCTCTTCATTTTCCTAAAGAGTTCTGGTCACTTTGATAGATTTGACATTTATAATGTATTTCTGAGACACTTTACCAAGGTGATAACGCGTTAATCCCATTGGTTAATACATTAAATTCCCCTGTTGTTAATCATGTTATCCATTAAAGCCCATCTTTGATCACCAAAATTACATATTTAAACATTATTCCTTGAAGAAAAATTCTTCATGCCGTACAATATCTTGCGTCTAACTCGACACCCTCGCCTCATTTAGTATGTGTGGTTCTATGAATATGTAAATGAGCCCCGTCTCCACTCACTCATTTAGAGATCCACTGGTTGACTATCACACGTTGATCTGATTGGTTACAAGGTCGTTTGTGACGTCAGAACAACAGCGATTTCAAACCGTGTTTTTGAGACTGTCTTTGGTTCACTGCAGTTTTAAGGAGGAAATACTCAGGAATAGCCTAGAAATCTAGACGCACCCTAGCGGCAGCAAAAATTATTTTGCAGCAAAGTGTGGTCTAGCAACTCTCCATAGACATTTTAGCTGGAAAAACTCAACTCTGGTAGGGCCAATCACATCGTGTATAGAGTCGGCGGACGGGCTTAACATAATGACGACAGAGTTGAGCCGGTCAGAGCAAGCTTTTAATTAATAATGAGCATTACATTTGTTATTAATCCTTTTTCAACTTCCAGGCGGCATACTTCGGAGGGAAAATTGTAATTCTACATCGGGAGACAACGCAGTGAACGTCAAGAAAAGGAAGCGGGGAAAAAAGGGAGCTGTTCGTCAACGACTACGGCGCAAACAGCTCACCCGTATTTCCCTGCCGTCAATGATTCTGGGTAACGTACAGTCATTACGGAACAAACTTGACGAGTTGCAGGGAAATGTTCGTTTTCTGCAGGATTATAGAAACAGCTGTGCTATGGCATTCACAGAATCCTGGCTAACTGAGCAGGATTTGGATAATGACTTGTGTATTGATGGGTTTGGCACCCCGTTTCGCACGGATAGGAGTGCAGAAATCACAGGTAAATCCCGTGGTGGGGGTGTGTGCCTTTATGTCAACAAGCGGTACTGTACTGGGGTGACTATTCGGGAGAACATTTGTACACCCGATGTTGAGTTATTATCAGTATCCCTTCGTCCATTTTATCTGCCACGGGAATTTCCACAAATTTTTATAACTGTTGTGTACATTCACCCAAAAGCAAACAACGTCATTGCATCGAACATTGTATCTGATGTTGTTCAAGAACTTCAAAATATTTCACCAGAGGCGCCGAATCTTATTTTGGGAGATTTTAATCATGTGTCACTTAAAAAGACTCTGCCGAATTTTTACCAATACATTACATGCCAGATAAGACACTTGATCTCTGTTATGGGAACATAAAGGGGGCATAAAGGTCTGTACCATTGTCGGCACTTGGATCTGCCGATCATAACTGTGTGCAGCTCCTTCCTATTTATAGACCCTTATTTAAGAGAGAAAAACCTCAGATAAGAGAAGTCAAAATGTGGTCAGAAGACTCAATCGCCCGTTTGCAAGGGTGCTTTGACTGTACGGACTGGGAGGTCTTCAAAGACTCTTGTGAACATATTGATGACTTGACAGATGTTGTAAGCTCATACATAACATTTTGTGAGGATATGATTGTGCCTACACGTAAATTTAAGGTTTTCCCAAATACCAGACCATGGATGTCAAAATCAGTTAAAACAAGTTTGCTAAATAAGAAGCTAGCCTACAAACAGGGGGATAACCTAGAAAGGAAAACAGTGAGGAAAGAAGTCAGAATGGAGATCTTTAAAGCCAAACAAGCATATAAAATTAGGTTAGAAAAAAACTTGGCAGAGAATAACTTAGGCTCTGCTTGGTCTGGTAAGAAGAAAATTGCAGGAATGCAGGACAATGTAAATAAGAACACTGTGTGTATTGGTGGTTTTAGATCAAATGATGACCTTTCAAATGCTCTTAATATGTTTTATGCAAGATTTGAAAGTTTTGATTTTAAAAATGAAGTAGAAGAAATACGATGGCTGTGTAAGGATGATTCCCACATAGTCTTAGAACAGGCTGCAGTTGAGAAAATGTTTCTCTCCACTAGGGTGAATAAGAGTCCTGGTCCAGACTATATATGTGGGAGAATATTAAAGCACTGTGCAAGGCAACTAACTTCTATATTTTGTGATATTTTTAATTGGTCATTACGTGAACAAAAGGTACCTAGTCTGTGGAAAAAGTCTTTTATTATTCCAGTTCCTAAATGCAATAAGCCTAAAGTGTTAAATGATCTGAGACCAGTAGCCCTCACCTCATTGGTAATGAAATCATTTGAGAAACTGGTGAAGTCTGAGTTATTAAGTAAGACTGGACAAGCCCTCGATCCCATGCAATTTGCTTATAGAGCGAACAGAAGTTGAGGATGCTTCACTTATGCTGTTAAATTTATTGACTAAGCATCTAGAGGGGAAAAATACCCATGCAAGACTGTTGTTCATAGACTTCTCTTCCGCTTTTAACACTATACAACCCCACATCCTAGCCAGAAGATTGTTGGAGTACTATAAGTTGAACCACAATTTAGTGGGATGGCTACTGGATTTTTTAACAAATAGAATGCAGAGGGTCAAAGTGAATGGCAGTTTTTCTGATGTATTAATTTTATCTACAGGAGCACCACAAGGTTGTGTTCTTTTGCCCTTACTATACATTTTGTATACTAATATGTGTCAAAGTGGATATGAAAATAGGATATTAATCAAGTTTGCCGATGATGTAGTGATAGTCTGTTACAAGGGGACGAATCGGGCCATGGTCCAGTTGTGGAGGGTTTTGTGACCTGGTGCGATGATTCCTATCTAAAGTTAAACACTACCAAAACGAAAGACATGATAATTGATTTTAGAACGCGCACCGTTGATCACGTTACTACGATTATTAAAGGACAGACTGTGGAACAGGTGGAGAGTTTTAAATATCTGGGTACAATTATAGATTTAAAACTTTCATTTGAATCTAACTGTGACATGGTCTGTAAAAAGGGTCATCAACGTTTGAGATGCCTTAGGAAACTTGCAAAATTTCACATCGACAGACGTATGCTGAGTTTGTTTTATTTCGCTTTTATTGAATCTGTTATGTCTTTTTCCATAGTGGTGTGGTATGGAAGTCTGTCAGTGAAGAACAGAAACTCCCTAAACCAAATTGTAAGATGGGCGAGTAGAATAATTGGAGTAAATCAAAGGAATCTAGGGAATGTACACGCAGATCAGCTGTATCGGAAAGCAAGTGCTGTCTTGAGTGATCAGTCGCATCCCCTAAGGAATGATTTTAGGTTACTTCCGTCTGGTCGCCGTTTTGCGGCTTTGAGATGGAAAACAAGACGATATAAGAATACTTTTGTTCCAGCTGCAATTGAATTGCTAAATGATAAGAGAGAAGTTTTAGCACTTGACAGTTAATACGGATAACGTATGTGTTAATGCGCAGTTTGTCATGAAGTCTAGTTGTCCAGTACGTGAAATATTTGTATTGTATGTTTTTATGTGGATGACCGAATACTTTTTTTATCTGTTGTATTGTTCAGGCAACAATAATAAAGATAAGAGAAATGACTGGTACAGGCTTCTTTTATTCCACGTGGTTGTACACACAGCATATCTCCATTACCACACCACTCTTTAGCCAATGCACTTCATCTTATACAACACATTACTGCCATCTGCTGGAATCAATCATATACAGCTGTACTCATTACATCTCTTTTCCTTTTTTTTTTTTTTTTTTTTTTTTTTATACTACATGTTACATGAACTTTCACATAATTACAAACACTTGACTATATAACACTCAATTCATTTTTTTTACCAATTACAAGTCCATTCGAACCAGTGGTTTTCGAACTCGATTAGATCTCCGTAAGATAGGAATGTCAGTCTTTGGTACAGAGGAATCAAGTTCAGAATCAGGATCAAGTTGCTGATCAACAGAGGGCATTGAGGGCATTTCACAAGACTGCATTTCAGGGGACATCAGCTCCACAGTTGGCTCATCCAAAGGACATTTCTCTGCAGTCTTAAGCAAACTCTGTCGATTTCTCCGTAAGGTCTGCCCATCTTCTGTATGAACAAGATATGATCTCGGGTTTATCTCTTTTAGGACTGTAGCTTTCTTTCTCCATCCTGTTGGCTCCGCAACTCTAACGACATCTCGTTCAGAAAGAGGTTTTAGTTGCCGACTTCCCTTGTCATAATATTCTTTCTGCTTCTCTTTTATATGTTGCATCTCTTTCAATGACAAATCGTTGATTTCTTTTTTCAGAGATAATTTTGGAAGTGTGTCACGCAGTTTGCGATTCATCAATAACTCGGCAGGAGATAATCCACAACTGAGTGGAGAGGAACGGTAACTCAACAGAGACAGATTTTCATCCGAATTACTTGCCGCTGCTTTTTTCAAAAGTCTTTTAACAATTTGTACCCCTTTTTCTGCTTTATCATTTGCCTTTGGATAAAGAGGGCTTGAAGTAGTATGCTTAAAGCCATACTGCTCTGCAAACAGCCTGAATTCATGACTATTATACTGGGGACCATTGTCACTTTGCACACAATGAGGAATTCCATGCCTTGCAAAAATGCATTTCATACGTTGAATCATCTCGTTCGATGTTGTTTGACGGAGCTGTTCAACTTCAGGATAATTGGAATAGTAATCAATAACCACCAAATAATCCTTACCATTCAACTGGAAAAGATCAGTGCCTACTTTTTGCCACGGCTCAGTAGGAAGAGCAGCTACCATCATGGGTTCTTTAGCCAGTTTATAATGATGACTCAAACAGACCGCACACTGACTGATGAATTTCTCAATGTGCACGTTAATTCCTGGCCAAAAAACAGCTTGTCTAGCTCTTCTCTTGCATTTTTCAATGCCAAGATGCCCTTCATGGATTCGACGAAGCATGTCTTGGCGCATTGATACTGGAATGACAATTCTGTTATTTTTCATCAGCATGCCCTCAACCACACTCAATTCTGCCCTTAATGGAAAATACTGTGGACACTTGCCTTTGGGCCATCCACGATGAAGATGTGCAATAACCCTCTGCAGTTCAGAATCTTTTGCAGTTTCCTCCGCAATGAGTCTTAACATCTCATCTGAGACTGGTAGAGATGAAACCACCATACTCACATGTCTCTCAACTTCGTCCATATTGCTGATCTCTGAGGCGGCTGGTGCTCGAGACAGTGCATCAGCTACAATGATATACTTTCCAGGGGTATAAACTAAATTCAGATCATATCTTTGTAACTTCATCATCATGCGTTGAATTCTAGGTGACATGTCATTTAAGTTCTTTTGAATGATAGATATTAATGGTTTATGATCCGTCTCTACTGTAAAAGTAGGTAATCCATAAACAAATCCATGGAATTTATCACAGCCAAATACTAACCCCAAGGTCTCTTTTTCAATTTGAGAATAGCGTCTTTCAGTCTCTGTCAGAGATCGAGAAGCATAGGCCACAGGTCTCCAGGAATCCCCAATGGCCTGAAGAAGCACCGCCCCCAATCCATCCTGAGAGGCATCTGTAGAGATCTTAGTTGGACGTGTGTGATCAAAAAAAACAAGGACAGGTTCAGTGGTAAGAATCCCCTTTAACCTCTTCCATTCTTGATCATGAACTGATGACCACACAAACTCTTGATCATTTTGTAACAACTGTCTCATATGTGTGGTTCTCGCTGAAAGATTTGGCAGAAATTTTCCAAGGAAGTTTACCATTCCCAACGCACGCAGAATTCCCTTCTTGTCACTAGGTGGAGGCATATCAAGGAGGGCTTGTACTTTTGCTGGGTGTGGCTCCACACCTTTTGCCGACAGCTTGTCACCCAAGAATGTTATCTCTGTGACTCCAAATTGACACTTTTTCTGATTGAGCTTTAAATCATGTGCACGAACTCTTTCCATCACTTTTACCAGTCGTTGATTATGCTCTTGAAGGGTGGACCCCCACACCACAAGATCATCAATATATACACGAACACCCTCCAGACCTTCAATAAGGGTTTCCATGGCTCGATGAAAAATCTCGGGAGCTGACTTGATCCCAAAGGGAAGTCGAAGAAAACAATATCTTCCAAAGGGAGTATTAAAAGTACAATACTTGCTGCTCTCAGAATCCAATCGGATCTGCCAAAACCCTTGAGAAGCATCTAATTTACTAAAAAACTTAGCTCCTGACATGTCACTAATGATCTCTTCACGGGTGGGAATCTGGTAATGTTCTCTTTTTATACAATCATTGAGATCTTTAGGGTCTAAGCATACTCTCAACTCACCATTTGGCTTTTTCACACAAGTGATGGAATTCACCCAATCTGTAGGTTGTTCAATCCGCTGTATAACTCCTGATTGAGTCATGCGATCCAATTCCTGCTTCAAGAGATCTCGCAGAGGTGCAGGAACCCGCCGAGGAGCATGTATGACTGGTGTGGCATCATCTTTCAGTTGTATTTTATAGGTAAATGGCAATGTGCCTTGACCTTCAAAAACATCTGGAAATTGTTTGACAATGTCAGTAACATCATCACAGACAGTCTGTAAGACTACAGTTTCCCTGTTGACTTGATAAACTCTTTTAACCAAATGAAGGTCTTCACAAGCTTTATCTCCTAGAAGAGATTCATGGCCGTTGGGAACTACAACAAACATCAAACTTTGCATCTTTCCTTTGACTTGTAATGTTAATCGACATACTCCTTGTGTTTCAATTGATTGTCCATTATAAGCTTTAAGGGGAACTGTACGTTTTTTTAATGAGAGGTTTTTCTTTCAATGCTTTCACATCTCTAATGTTAATCAAATTAGCTTTTGCACCCGTGTCTAATTTAAAAGGCACAATGGTCCCATTAACCACAAGAGGAACAATCCATTTCGAAGACGAAAACCTCACTGAATCCTCTCTGGATACACATGTTGCAGCATCCTGATTTATATTCTCTTCGGAAACCATGTTGACATAAAACGAATCACTCAAAGAGTCACTGTCATCTGCCTCCTCCACAACATGCACTTTATTTTCCCTCTTCATGTCTTTTGAAAAACACATTTTTGCAAAGTGGTTCAGGCCATTACATTTCGAACATCTTTTTCCGAAAGCCGGACACTGTCTGAACTTATGTTTGGTCCCACAACGCTTACAAGAGAAAGTTTCATTGTCGTTTTCTCTGAAATTTCTTGAGTTTCCTCTTTTCCTGTCTCTGTATGATATGGCATCTACTGCTGCGCTCTGAAATGACATCGCTGACGAATTAGCCCCATCAAATTGTTTCACTTGTTGTCTTGCTACTTCACTGGACTGGCACAATTGAACAGCATAATCCAAGGTGAGCTCTGATTCTCGTAACAATCTTTCTCTCAGTTTCTTATCATAGATACCGAAAACAATCTGATCACGAATCATTGAATCTCTCAATTCATTAAAATTACAAGTCTTTGCCTTTATTTTGAGGTCTGTAAGAAAGTAATCAAAAGCCTCTCCTTCATGCTGCATTCGCGTTCTGAATACATATCGTTCATATGTCTCGTTCCTCTTTGACAAACAATGAGCATCAAATTTTTCCAATACCTTATCCAGTTTCTTCTTGTTTGCCTCTTCCTCAAATTGAAAGGTGTTATAGACCTCCACGGCATCAGCTCCAGCAATGGTAAGTAACAGAGCAATCTTTCTTTCGTCCACAGCAGCTGCTTGTCCAATAGCGACAACATACAACTCGAACTGTTGTTTGAAAGTCCTCCAATTTGCATCCACATTTCCACACAACTTCAGCGGCCCCGGTGGTTTAATGGCATCCATTGCTCTTTTCTACTGACCCCACTCCTGGTACCATGTATTGTTCAGGCAACAATAATAAAGATAAGAGAAATGACTGGTACAGGCTTCTTTTATTCCACGTGGTTGTACACACAGCATATCTCCATTACCACACCACTCTTTAGCCAATGCACTTCATCTTATACAACACATTACTGCCATCTGCTGGAATCAATCATATACAGCTGTACTCATTACATCTGTAATATAATTTTACTTGCAGGTACGAAATAAAAACTACCTACCTACCTTAATAAAATACAACTATTAATGTATTCTAGCTTATGTCTAATACATATTGACTGATACTATTTATTTAACAATGCATTAGTAAATGTTAATTTACATTATATTTCTAAAATGGTATTGAAGCGATTTATGCATTATTTATAAGTGGGAGATTTTCCAAAGTAAAATTATTTGTTAACTTTGTTCTTAATAATTATATAATAATGTTGCATGTCGGATGTTCGGTTCAAAATGATTAGTTAAAACCTGATCAGGTTCAAGTACTTCATCACGTGGTCTCTGATGAACTTTTATTGCGTTACGCCAGTTATTCTTTCAAAAATAAAAAGCCCTTGTCACAGCACGGGTTTGGCCTTCTATGATAAAAACTTTTAAAACATGAAAAGTTTGTAAATTATAAATCCGCTGCCACTTCTGGACGTTTATCTCCCGCGCATGCGCAGTGTTGAAACGGAAGCCTCTTCAGTGCAGAGCGGAAGTGGATTCGTCCTTTTTCAACCACGGTCTGCCATCATGGTGAGTGAACTCACTGTCGCACAGTCTTAAATCTAACAAATATGATGTTTTATTGCAGTATTTCAGACGAATTGTGCACGGAAGACGCATTTTAATACCTCAATGTCCTCTATATCGTAGTTTTGAAGTATAACTGAGGCTTTTAGCGCTATCGGTGAGAAAGAGCGTCAGATGTGCCTCGAAACAACGTGGTGGAGTGAGTGAGTGTGTGTGTGTGAGAGAGAGAGTGTGTGTTAGGTCGGAGTCGGCACAGGCACTCATGTTTCACAGGACCATCAAATGATAATAAATGACCGAAACGCTCGATGTAAAGGTGTTTTATAGAGGCTAAAGTTGTGTTTTTCGGTCCCGTTCTCACGGGGACGAGCAAAGAGAGCGCGCCCGAGAGCAGCCGGCTGAAGCACGCGCTTAAAGAGACAGATCACACAGAAGTTACTGTTCTGTTATTTACTCATGCTCATGTTGTTCAAAACCTGTGTGAAGTTCGTTTTTCTGCTAAACACTAGTGTTTTAAAGAGTGTCGGTAATCTAACAGTTGCTCTGCCTATAGACGAATCCGACGAGCGTTCTGTGTAGGCTGCTATCTTGTGGCGACGCCATTAGCTACTGAGCTGTTACACAGGCATACAGACATATGCACCGGTATGTAAACAAACCTCGGTGATAACGCGAACTCACCCTCGATGACAGCTACAGCCAGGCAGAATGACTTGTTGGGTTGATCTGTGACTGCAGTGGCCTCCAGTCACAGATGAAGGTACACACGATCTTACAGATTAACGTTATTATGAAAATAGCTTGGCAAGCTAGCTATACTAACGTTTGCTAACGAGGAAACTATAAAAAGATCTGTCCATTTGGCAACAATAAATACATAAATGAATGAAATCAAATAAACAAATTCATGTTTTTCATTTGTGTCCATTATTTATCTCATTTTCACATTGCAACAGGCAAGGGTAAGGTAACGTTACAGCTAGAAAGTATGTAATATCGACCAATTAGTGTTTTTAAACCATGGAAAGAGGTTAATATAACAGCAGGAAAACAATTATGTCACATAACGTTACATTTAGCTCAGGAAGGCCATTTAATGACCATAGCATGCTAATTGAATAGAAAAAACAGCAAGAGAGGAGATTTTGCTGATCACTATATCACATATTTATTATATTTTTTTTACTCCTGTCATTAAATAATTGTTATTATACGCGAATGTCCACGTCTTGTACTCGCCCAGGAAATCTGTAAACCGTACGGCTCCAGACGGGCAGTCGACCTGGGCTATTCACAATGTTTTCTCTTCAAAATTGAAATTTTACTGCCACCATTGAAACAATTTATAACGGAAACTGTTTACCCACTCGACATTATACAAGGGGTAACGTTGTAACGTTAGTGACAGTCGTAAATCCCGGGCTGTTTATTCCAGTGGACGCAAGTTGCAACTAAAACAATAGGAGGCAATGGCGCAACGCTACCCAGCAACAGCTCAGTAATGGCACCCCGCTTACTTACGGTAGTTTCGCCGGATTCGTCTATAGAGAGCCTAAGTCCCGCCCCTCCGCTTCCGGCTCATGGGACCTTATTTTGGAAAAAATATGACTGGTAGTCAATGGCGAGAGACAACTTATCTTTTTATTCCGTCTGAACTGTGGCCTCAATTACACATATGATGTTTGTCAATTTAAAAGATAATTCTGAAAGTCAAAACCGTTGCAGTTTGTCATACAACAGAAGAGTAACATTTAGTTTTATGTGAAAATTGCTCTGTGAACTACATCTCCCGGGAAGAGAAACGAGATCCGCTGCTCGTGTGTGTGCAGTCTGGTACAAAACACTCGGGTATGACGGCGTAACGTTACGATTATAACGTAAGACTGTAGAAACAATGACAGACAGCCTCAGTAAAGTTAGCTTCATTCATTGAGAGAAAATGTGCGCCTTTGGGGTTTGTAGTCTTTGTAATTACGTATTTTCACAGTCTTATACCTCAACGGTTTTACATCAAACTGCAACTTTCTTTACTTTAAAATGTATCTTTTAAATTGACAAACATCATATGTGTAATTCAGGGCACAACTCAAACGAGATCAAAATATTTGTTGTCTCTCGCCATTGACTACCATTCAATATTTTTCCGAAATAAGGTCCCATGGTGGTCGACCGGAAGGGGAGGGACTTAGGCACTCCATTGAGTGCCGAAGTTATGACGTAACTCTGTAGGCCAAAACGCGGAAGTGAGTTAGCATTTCAGCATTACGGTTCCCTCGCTCTAAAGCCTATGGGATTTTTGAATGGTTTTTTGCTAAATCGCCTGAAATAAGGTTTGTGGTGAACAGAGCCGATAAATATTTTCATGTTTTGATCTATGACACAGAACACACAGTTATAATCTGCTTGTGTTTTTTAAACTTTATTGTGTCTGATTGTGTTTTTTAAAATCTTTATATAGGCTTCAAAATGTATAAATTTTAGATTAACTTGTAAAGATTATCTTGCTAGACAAAACTTGTAAGAGGCACAACCCTTTGTTAAACATTTATCTTATGTTTTGCGATTTTCCAAAAGTCTATGGGGAAAATGCATTGCTTTTCGACCTAGGGAACCCATGCGCCGCTAGCTTCCGGGTTGTCCTACAAAGTGACGTCATCACTTCGGCACTCAATAGAGATCCTAAGTCCCTCAAATAAATCCTACTGAGGTGAACGGGGTCCATCACCCGTTCGGTTCCGACAGTCTTTATGCTCTCGTGTTCGGCTGAAGAACTCGCGGGTGTGGGACCACTCATGGGGGAGTGCGCGACAGAACTGCAGTCAGATTGCTGACGTTACTGGACACAAGGCAGTGCCCGTCATTAATGAATCAATGTTTACATTGAAATGCATTAATACTCTTGTTTACTTTCTTTCTTCAGGTTTTTAAGCGCTTTGTCGAAATCGGCCGCGTTGCATTCGTAGCCTTCGGGCCTTACGAGGGGAAGCTGGTGGCGATTGTAGATGTTATTGACCAAAACAGGGTGAGTTTAAACACTAGTTATGTTGTGTCCTGTTATGAAGCTTCATGAACACTATATGTCTGGGCTGAGTCACATGTGCAGTGAGTGTTGTGTGACCCAGTGCTGTGTTGTGTTCAGGCGCTGGTGGACGGCCCGTGCACCGGGGTCAAGAGGCAGGCCATGCCCTTCAAGTGCCTGCAGCTCACAGACTACGTCATCAAGGTCCCTCACAGGTGTGTGTGTGTGTGTCACGTCATGCTCTGCTTCATCCCTACAGAGCAAATGTGATTCTGACATGGCGATTGCGTTGTGATTTCAATCATGATATGAAATGAAAGTGAGCATTTTAGTGACATAACTGAATGGATCTATACAAGGGAAATCGTTCTTTAACAACATGCATCAATCAGTTGAATAATACAATTAAATAATAATGAAAAAACACATCTTAAATGCGCACATTACCGCGGGTATAATGCCAATATTGGTAATCGGAATACCTACCAGGAAAGATGACAGCCTATGAAAGCATGAATACATCACCTGACGATTAAGCCTGAATAGATATCAAGCATGGAAATATAGAAATATGGATGGGCATTTTTGTCAGTTTCTCCTTTTGCTGATTGGCGGATGAGGTTCTCCGGGGGCGTGTCCGTCAGATGATGGACATATTTTAAAGGGCACCTATTATGCCCCTTTTTACAAGATGTAATATTGGTCTCTGGTGTCCCTAGAATGTATTTGTGAAGTTTCAGCTCAAAATACCCCACAGTTAATTTATTATAACCATTTGAAAATGTCATTTTTGGGCCTGCTTAAAAATGACCTGTTTCGGAGGTATACGGCTTTAAATGCAAATGAGCTGTATATCCCCGCCCTGCCTTTGGATGAGGGTGTAACTTAATACCTATGGCAGTCGGTAAGCAGAAGGGCTAAGAGAGTGAGAGACGTGCTGTTTTGAATGTCATTCAGCGTACGTTTGAATCGGAATATATAAATAGCATGAAGAGACTCCGGCAGAATAAACATAAATGAGAATGGACCAGTATGTCTCGGTATGGTTATTTGATACATTTATGTACTTTAGCGTTGTAATCGCGTTCCCTTTGAAATGATGGACATGTGCAACACAGACACACAAACACTAATGCTGGCGCAATTTTTTTTAAATTACATACACATACTGTGATAAAGTTTGCTACGTACAAGCGAAATTACATTTATGCGAGGGACGGGGACCTGTGGCGTCATGTTTACTTGGCATACGGGTGCTTCTGTGGCAAATGTGAGGACATATAGAACAACATATATGCAGTTTTTAATACAATATCTTTAAATATATATAAACGTGTGGTTACACACTATACAAACAAGGTTTAAATTATATAGCCTACACAGACATCCTACGACGACAACAACTTTAGACGCATTTGTTGTTGAATTGGCTGACATTGACTGAAAAGACTATTTGCTCAAAAATCATAAAACACACTTACTGTTACTGGATGTGACGGTGGATCGCAAACAGTAGATGACGATCCACAGTTAAGGATTAACTTTTAAGCCACAACAACAGGATTAACCCACGAGTCCACGACAGAACACTTATGTTTCCAAGAGACATTACCGGCTGTCGTCGTTGAAACAATGGAGGATGATGTGTACAGGTCTAGGCCACAGCCACACTGTCAATCAAACCCCTGTCTCCCTTTCTACGTCACAAAGAGCTGAATCTCAGAACAGCTCGTTCTGAGGCAGTGCATATGATTTATTGATATTGTAAAAAAAAACCACTGGGTGGATTTTTATCATTCTAGGGTCGTTTTGCTCACACACTGCCAACACACATTTATGTTCAAACACCATGTAAAAGTGAATTTTCCATAATAGGTGCCCTTTAAGATTGTTACAAAAATTAATGTTAACACAAAATGACGTGAAAATGTTTCTATAAAAACATGAACATATGAATAGAAAATAACACTGCTTGATTATGATGCTTCAATGTTTAATAAAAGAACCGTCTCTATTAACACAGTCAGTAATGTGTGGCGTCGAATTAGAACAGTTAAAGTTCAAAATCAGACTTGAAGTATTTCTTTATTAATAAATTGAACTAATACATTAATTAAAGTGTGTATGTCAGGTTAAATTTGTATGTATGATTAACACAAAATAGGGGAAAAACACGTTTGTCAAGTTGATGTATTGTTTTGTATGTTTTTTGATACCTAAAGGCAGAATAGAAGATGAAAAAGTTAGTTCTTTTCAGTACTCACTTAAAACTACTCCTCCCCCCAAACGAATCGCTTGACGTCATAAGAGGGAGACGTTTCCCCAGGTCGCTGAGAAAGTGAGTCAGTGAGCTGTGTTGGTAATTGTACGAATGATAGAGCGAGAGAATTATTTGATTAGAACATTTATATATTTAGTTATTTAAATCATGTAGTTAGTTAGGTATGCGCAGAAAACAGGTTTGCCAACCGCAATTAAACCCTGAAGAAGAAAAAGAAGAAATGTATATGCAGGCGTATTATCTCGATGGTGAATTACTGCGTTTGTACTGGGTGCAAAAACACCGTTAAAACCGGTCACAGAGTCCTCTTTTTGATGACAGCCGGGAGACTAGAAAGCTCTCAGAATATCAGCAGTGAACTCCGTGTCCGATTGGCACGCAGGGACTAAAATAAATAAATTAAACGCACTTCAGCAAACCTGACTGTGGCGAGGGGGCGTGATTTTGCAAATCTGTAGCAGGAGAAAAAGGATGGAGCCGCGCGGTGAGTAAGTAGGTCAAGTGCAGATGAACACCTGTGTGTGATTGCAGTAATTTCCGTGGAGAGACCGTATATAACCGGCGAATGAGCGAGAGCGAGAGATACCCCTTTTCCACCAAAAAAAGAACTGGTTCAGAACTGTTGTTGGTTCAACTCGCGAACCGCTTCAGATTTTTTTCCACTGATTAGAGCGCCCAGGGAACGACGTCGTTACGTCACTGTGTACGTCGCCATACGTCTTGGCTAAAAACGCTTGCAAATACAACATTACTTTCGGATTATCTCTAACTCGTATAATTACCAAGAAAGCTTTAAAAACAATTGAAATATGTAACTCTTTTAATCTTTTCATTTGATATGTAATTTTTTCTGATAAGTTATGTACCCCTGTAATTGTGTCTTTTTTTTCTTTCCATTTATTTGTTCTATATTGTGACTTTTCTTCTTTGCTTATAATGTCTTCAATAAAAAAAATTCAAAAATAGAAACGCTTACGTTAACTTCAAGCACAACAATTACAAAGGCGGACCCCATCGTGTTTCTGCAAATGTTTCTCTTGGCTTTGCGATCCTTTATTATGGTCAGAAAAGATGTTTAGAACACATCTAAACCCGCCCCAGCCCCCGACGTAAGCATGACGTGGTAAAAGAACGGTTCTAGTCCAGCAAAGAGTTGGTGCCACTTTGGAACCAGTTCTCCCGGCCGAGAACCAGTTCTTTGGCTGTTGAAACACAAAGAACTGGTTCGCGTGTAGGCACCGGCTCCGAACCGTTTTTATAAAATGCTCTGGTGGAAAATGGGCTAAATAGAGTTGGACTGGGATTTCGCACGCGTCTACTGCAACCGAGACTGAGAAGCAAGTGTTGGATCGCGCGTTTTGTTTATGGTGGCGAATGCGCTACTGTGCGCCACGTTTCTTTTTTGTTTTTTTGAATAAACGCGAGTCCCAGTTAAGCCGACACTGTCTTCTTCTTTCCACACACACTGAACCTCTTCACACTGACCTATTCTGATAGGCTACCGCGCATCTCTACTGCGTATCTCACAGTAGTTCCGCATTAATTAATTTGCATGCGAGTTTTATTTATTTCAAACCTGTATTCTCCATGTATATTCATGCACCGAACCGTGACGCCCGTACGTTTCGGCTCAATACGAATACATGTACCGTTCCACCTCTAAGTTATGCCTATACTTACCAAGACACCTGATCAACTCTCCACTGGTTCTCTTCACAGCAGATATTTATGTTTCTTTAATAGGAATTATTTAAATTTCTGTTTGGTTCCTCATCTGTCTCACGCCTGGGAGGCTCAAAATTGTAAGGCTGTGGGCCATCGTAGGTTTGAGGGGGATTTTGGATCTCCTCAGACTCAAAACTCTCCATACTTGAATAGAATTAGTCACATCTCCCTCTTCTGATAACATTTTCACTCAGACATCTAAACATTTAATTTATCTAAAAAAATTAACCCGACAGACACACTTTAATTATACATTCTTTATTAATAAATTTCTAATAATTTGAACTTTATTTGATAAACCGCATTCGACCTATTAGATAAAGGACGCACGTGAGCTTGGCCGTCATCGTTTGACATGCTAACTCCCGCTGTGGTTGGCTCTTCGCTTCACACCTCTGACACACACTTAATTTTCTACATCCTCGTTACTTTCAAATGTTAAACTTGTTCTTAATTTTGGTCTTTAAATTGTGTTTGTAACATTGACACCAATGTCATTAACTTTTCCATTCATCTTTTTAATGAGAATTACTGTAAATACAGTCCTGCATATGTGGAGAAATGAGGGGTTGGATAGATGTTTGGTGTGTGTGTGTGTTCCCCAGTGCCCGTCAGAAGTACGTGAGGCGAGCCTGGGAGAAGGCCGAGGTCAACAAGAAGTGGGAAGAGAGCAGCTGGGCCAAGAAGATCGAGGCCAGGAAGAAGGTGAGTTAGCTGTTAGCGCTCCACGGACACACACTTAGCACTCCGGCTGACTCACGCGCGCACACACTGTTAGCGCTCCAGGAGACACACACAATGTTAACGCTCTGCGGACACACGCACTGTTAGCGCTCCGGCAGGCACACACACACACACACACACACTGTTAGCGCTCCGGCAGACACACACACACACACACACACTGTTAGTGCTCTGGCACACACACACACACTGTTAGTGCTCTGGCACACACACATCCACACACTCTGTTAGCGCTCCAGCAGACACTCACAACATGCACTCTCTTAGTGCTCTGGTAGACACACACACACTCTGTTAGCGCTCCGGCACACACACACTGTTAGTGCTCCGGCAGACACACGCACGCTGTTAGCGCTCCGGCACACACACTGGTATTGGGGAAGATGATTGTGATGTGAATGATTTGGATACTCATGATGCATTTCTTTCCCAGAGGGCAAAGATGTCTGACTTCGATCGCTTCAAGGTGATGAAGGCCAAGAAAATGGTACGTTTGCCCTGTGTGTGTGTGGAACATGAGTATATGAACGTGTGTTGGACTGAGTGTGTGTGTGGAACGTGTGTTGGACTGAGTGTGTGTGTTGGACTGAGTGTGTGTGTGTGGAACACGAGTATATGAACGTGTGTTGGACTGTGTGTATAGTAACCACGAGTGTGTGTGGTGAACATGATTATATGAACACGTGTGTAGTGAACACAAGGTTATGAGTGTGCAGGGCTTGACATTAAAGCTTGTCCGGGACAAGTGGATTTTTTTGTAGGACAAGTAGAAGAGAAAATTGGTTGTCCGACTGGACAAGTTAAGTTTCAAACAATAAAATGCCATTTTACTTCACGTTATGTGCCACTCGTTACGTCTATTTTACAGCTTTAATTTTACCGATTTGAAACAAACATTTTTTGCACTGCCTGTGAATGTCCTGGATGTGACTCACAGAAAGACGCGCACCAGTATAATGCGCATGCACAGACCGTGCACCAGAAGTTCTTTCGCGCTTGAACAAACATCAACAACACACACAATTAAGCCAAAATGTAATTTGTTCGAGTATCTTCATAACATAAGAGTAGTCTTATGATGGACATAAAGAGTTGTGACTCGTCAGAGAATGAGGCGCGTGTGAGATCCTCTATCCACAGCGGCTGCTCTTAAAGGGCCAGCTACCAATAAAGCGTACTGTCAGTAAAGTTAATGAAAGAACAAAGGGAACAGAGAAAATTACTCGCTGCTCTTGACTAAAGAACTTGTGTAGCTTTAATAAGGAGTAGTCTATATATAATATGTAATTTATAATTTATGCAGCGCAGACTGTTTGATTAACTTTATTCAATTTCTGTATATGTCCTACCTGTTAGACAGTTAATTTTTATCCAGACATCAATGGCTTATTGATCATTATAGGTGTTATCAATCATTTAGTTGTTATTGCTAATTTCAGAATTATCACTAATCTGTGTGTGCATTTGGTTTAGAACCAAACAAGTTGACTCATGAAACCATTTGTTTGTTATATCGCAATCGCATATCACAACTGCAATATTGACCTCAATAATCGCTATATGATTTTTTTTCCCCAAATCTTGCAGCCCTAGATAAAATTGTAAATCTTACCCAGACAAGTGACTTTTGTGCATGGACAAGTGAAACATAAATTTACTTGTCCAAAGGACAAGTGCCTCAAAAAGTTAATGTCAAGCCCTGAGTGTGTGTGTAGTGGACACAAGGTAATGAACGTGTGTGTGTAGTGAATACGAGGTTATGAACGTTTGTGTGTGTAGTGAACACGAGGTTATGAACGTGTGTGTGTGTAGTGAACACAAGGTTATGAACGTGTGTGTGTAGTAAACACAAGGTTATGAATGTGTGTAGTGACCGCGAGGTTATGAACGTGTGTGTGTGTGGAACACCAGCTGATCAGTTTCTTCTCTCTGCAGAGGAACAAGATCATCAAGCACGAGATGAAGAAGCTCCAGAAAGCTGAACAAAAGAAAGCATAAACTATCATAAATAAACGTGTTTGACTTGTAAACTTGACTCCGAGCTTTAAGTGTGTTGTGTAGTTATGGTGTGTGTAGAGTTGTTGATTGTGTGTGTAGAGTTGATATGTAAATACAGGAGTGGGGAAACACGGATTTGAGAAGTTCGTGATCGGCCAGACCTCAGTGCGGTGGATTAGCATCTGTGTGTGATGAGCTGGTGTGAGCAGGGACACTCGTGAGGACTGTTAAAGGGGTGGGTGATTACACACTCACTACAGCCAGAAAAGTGAAATCTTAAGGTGTGTTCGACATCGCCTGCGGCTGGATGCAACCGATCGGCGAGAATAGCCGCGTGCAGGCGGGGAGGAGCTGCAAATGGAGACGTGAAGTCGGACAATTTCTGGTTCCCGTACTGACGGCTCACGTGGTGTTTGCATGCTTTACCACAGCTTAAGTGAAATAAATGCAACATTTGCCAAATAAACAGATATTTCAGACACATTTTCATTCAACACTTTACTGCTTCATACAGCATCTGTTTGAACTGGAATAAAGTTCAAAATAAGCCTATAATCAATTACGTGGAGTCAACGTTTTTTAATCCGTTTTATTTTGATAAACCTGATAAACATGACACAATATAACATCGGAGGGTTGTTCCATAAAACAAGATCAGAAAATAAGCCAGGCTTATTTTGGTAAGTCAAACTTATTGTCTGTGAATTCTGTTTCATAAAGCAAACTTAAAATAGTTCAAACTCAGTTACCCTGGAAACTTATGCTGGGAAACTAGCCTGGTCCGGGGCAGGCTAGTAACTGTCAGGCTAAGTCTGAGTTCAGGCTTAACGAGCATACAATTTATACTCACCTGCTGGTATTTCGATGTCATTTTACTTTACTTAACCACTATTAATGCAACTTTTAAAAAATAAATAAATAAGGAAATGTACTTTACTAATAAATGTAAGAAATTATATGGTATAAATGCACCAATCAAAACTTGTGTATTTAATTGGGGAGTTTGTTTAATGAGTTTGGTAATTAATGAATAGGGAGCTGAACTCATTTCCAAACTTAACCATGGCGTGTCCTTTCATAGATGAGGTGTTGGATGAGGGAGCTATAGTCTTGCGGAGGGCATTTCAAAGCGAGAGAACTTTCAGAGACAGGTCAGACCCATTGGCAATAAATGACAGCTACCTGTATGAACGATATAGGTTCTCAAGAGATGGGATTGCATATATTTGTAGATTACCAAGCCCACACATATGCAAATAACTATTATGTTTAATATGGTCTAAATCATGAATGTGTAGCCTTTAAAATTTTCCACTGGCCCCTCAACTTTCTCCTTAGTTGAACAAACACACAGAAGTCAAAGTATTTAATGTGATTTGTCTTTATTCAGAGTGAATCTGCCTGTTAGGGGTGAAAACACACAAATAAATGTTGTGAATGATCAAAAAGATAATGTTTTTTTTCTTTTCCTTTAAAAAAAAGGTAGTTCTACTTGCATTTTTCTGTAGCTGTTGAATTTCCAGCTCCAACTTCCTCATCTTTAGTTTTTTATACTCGATGTCGATATCAGTTGCTTCCATTTATTTAAGGCAGTATCGTTTATACTCTTCTTTTATGTTTTCTGGGTTATGTAGCAACATTTAAGTTATTTCATTACTCTTGTCACATTGTTTTAATTTCTTAATACTCTAGAACAGAACTCTAGAACAGTGTCAGAATCCTGAAAACACATTATGATCATTTTATCACACAAGTACACTTTTTAATATTCAATACAGTATAGCATGGATGGAGTACCCCCTCCTTGAACATACAGACAGTCTCCTCATCCTCCTCAATTGATGGGCCTTCTCAAACTCAGTTAAACTCATTAGCTTACATAACTGATTTAAAAGGTCTCATACTCACAGGCAACATGATGTCTGGTGGATCCATAAAGCATACAGAATCTTGATAGAACATGTTTTTTTTTTGTTTTTTTTTACCAAAATGCACCATTACAATAGCACAAGTACCACATGACATTACTGCTATGATGTACTTAGGCCTACAATGTAAAATACACACACACACACACACCTTTTATATACTCACTCCTTATACTACGTGACATCAATTTAGATGATCTTTTTGGTCGCTTCAATAAAGAAAATAATTAAAAAAACAAACAAAACAAAAAACCCTGAATAGTTGTAACTTCAAGCTGGCATTGATTACATATAACATAAGATTTACTTACCATTCAGACTATATTTTTATATTTTATTTTCAGCTGCTGCCAGGTTCTTTTTCCTTCACTTAAGTTGCTGCTGCGTGAAAGCAATTAACGTTAGCCTACTGTTATTCACACACAAATTTTGCAATGTATTGTGACACACATTAAATGTTGAAGTATTTTAAATAGTTTACACCGCTACTTACGCATTGAGACGATCAGCAATTTCCTGCCAAACTTTCTCTCTTGCTTTATTTATTGCCGCTGTATTGACTTTTTTGGTGATGACATCTTTAAATTCTTCATTATATGTTTCCGTGAACATCGCTGCTCTATCTTTTCCTTTTGTTGCCATAGCCCACAGTAAATCGATTGACCCATGCTCGACTTTTCAGGACTTTTAGAGAATGGCGTGCACGCGCAATTATCTAGACTATTTAAACCTGACTCAAATTAGTAAGATCATATGATCCTCAACTTACTGTTATGGAACCAATTTAAGCGCGGATGTTTAACTCGGCTCATTCAAGTCAGGTTTTGGACTTTAATCCCCGCTTTTCTACGCGGCTTTTATGAAACAGCCCCCGGGACTACATGAAAAGACTGTTTACTGTTATAGAAAACAGGGGCTCGTTCTTCGTACGTTGCTTAAAACATCCGAGATCAAATGAGACATCTAAGATGATATCATCGTGCTAATCATGATCCGGCTAATTGGGTTCTTCGAACACACCTGTTGTTTATGATTAGTATCGCTGGATTGAGTTATCTGAGATAACTGCGCGTTCTCGCGTTGGTTTAAAAGGGAACATGTATCGATAACAGAACCAGTGATCAGCAGCGCTGCTATTGGCTGTTCAGCATGGCCAAAGAACACGCCCAGTTTTTCTACCAAGCAGAGCAAGCGCTTTTAATGCAACGTTATGCCGAATTTCAGTCTTTAATTAAAACGCCAGGGAACACCTCAAAGTTTGCAAAAGCCAGGAGAGAGTGCTGGCAAAACTAGAAGACAAATTAAATGCGTTTGTGGTGGCCATGTTAGATGTTTTAATAACTGATTATTATTTTATTTTTATTTTCATAATTTCATAATTACTTTGTTCATTGTAATGTCGAGTCACCACACTATAATAATAAACATGGTAAAAGTGAAGTACAAAAATATTCTACTTAATGGTAATTTTAGGCCTTATAGGCCTACTAGTGAGGCACAGTTAAATAAATGATTGTCTGTTTATAAAAGCAAACAGGAAAAAGGCTGAGAAAAAAACTAATAAGGATGCTCCTGACCCTGGCAGAAGAGCTGACCCTTGGGTTGAATGTGAATTGCCCTGTTGTGAAGGGCATCCCTGGGTTCAGCTCTTCCAGACCCACATCAGGGACCAGTAGCAGCAACACCTTCATTACTGGGAAATGAGATTTAAATTATCTTTGTACACTGTGAAATAATGTGTTGCTGCATTAAATGAAGTAGACCTATAATCCAAATTGGCTGGTTTAGTCATTTCAACTGTTAAATCTTGAGTAATGATAAATTGCTTTGTCTTGTGAAAGTAAAAACTGATAAACGTATGTTAATGTAAAAAATATTTTGCCATGAGTTATCAATCACATTGCACTGGAGAGTGAAGAAAACTTCTCAGATGACTGTCCTTTGGAGGAAGTACTTTAATTTAATTGATGGCTTTAATTGATTTCTACTTGTGCCTATGCCTATTATTTCTGACAGGAGTCCACATGTACAGAAAGGCCTACAGAAGAGTCTGCACACAGCAGTGATACAGGGGTGGGCAGTGTAGACAACTTTTGCTTTTTATTTGTTGCATTTGTTCCCTATATGAGTCTTCAACAGAAAATAGAGTATTTTGAAAAAACAAAAATCAGGGGGAGAAACAGAACTTGACTAAGAAAAAATTGCACTAAAATAGAGTTGCTTCAAAATAAACTTCAGAGTAAAATCACACATAGAACTATTACTGACCTTGCATAATATCTTTTAAAAAGATGACTGAATAACTGGCTTTTCTTTACAAAGAACTATTGAAATAAAACTCTAAGCAAACAGAGTTTTGCAAATTTGTCTTGTCTTTTATTTTAGGCTTAATTAAACATTTGATGTTGGCAGTGTTGTGTAATATGGCACATGCAATGTCACTCACAGGCCCTGTCAGAAATCTTCCCTTTAGTTGGCCGAAGCTCATGTCATTGTGTGCCCTTGTCCTAGAGCTGCATTGTAACTGGTCTGGGGTTTGGGTCAGGGAATGGGGTCATAAAACACCTGTCTCCATGCAGGATCCTGTTGTAATCACCTGTTTAATGGAAAAATGCAGTTCTCAGCATAAGTGTAAGTAATACCGTGAGTTTGATATTTATAATTTTCCTTACCATGTTCAAATAATGTTCATAAATGTGAATCTCTTAAAATTCTTGAGTCATGCACAGATCCTGGCCATTTTGCTTTCACACTGATTTGTGATATAGAACATGCAGGTCACACACCATCTAAAAGATTTTACTCAGTCAAATGCCTTTTAAAAAAAGTGATATAATATTCCAAATCTGGAATATTAAAAATTGTAATAGTAATTTGGCTGCACTGTATAAGCCCCCTTTCTGCTCACAAAATCCCTTCATTGAGGCCTTGATGGGAACATGTGTGTAGTCTATAGTGTATGGCACCAATCACGTAAATTAAACCTGAGGGACTGTAAGTCATAATCGGCATGGTCATCATGATTGCATTATCTTCATTAAAAATTATAATATACCCTAAGTTGGCAAAAAAAAAAAAAGAGCACTACTTGTGAATGGCACGACAGAAA